TAATTTCTGTTCTTTTACATTTGCTGAGGAGTGCTTTACTTCCAACTATGTGGTCAATTTTGGAATAAGTGCGATGTGGTGCTGAGAAGAATGTATATTCTGTTGATCTGGGGTGGAGAGTTCTGTAGATGTCTATTAGGTCCGCTTGGTGCAGAGTCGTGTTCAATTCCTGGATATCCTTGTTAACTTTCTGTCTCGTTGATCTGTCTAATGTTGACAGTGGAGTGTTAAAGTCTCCCATTATTACTGTGTGGGAGTCTAAGTCTCTTTGTATGTCTCTAAGGACTTGCTTTATGAATCTGGGTGCTCCTGTATTGGGTGCATATATATTTAGGATAGTTAGCTCTTCCTGATGAATTGATCCCTTTACCATTATGTACTGGCCTTCTTTGTCTCTTTTGGTCTTTGATGGTTTAAAGTCTGTTTTATCAGAGACTAGTATTGCAACCCCTGCTTTTTTTTGTTTTCCATTTGCTTGGTAGATCTTCCTCCATCCTTTTATTTTGAGCCTATGTGTGTCTCTGCATGTGGGATGGGTCTCCTGAATACAGCAAACTGATGGGTCTTGACTCCTTATCCAATTTGTCAGTCTGTGTCTTTTAATTAGATCATTTAGTCCATTTACATTTAAGGTTAATATTGTTATGTGTGAACTTGATCCTGTCATGATATTAGCTGGTTATTTTGCTCGCTAGTTAATGCAGTTTCTTCCTAGCATCGATGGACTTTACATTTTGACATGTTTTTGCAACGGCTGATACCTATTGTTCCTTTCCATGTTTAGTGCTTCCTTCAGGATCTCTTGTAGGGCAGGCCTGGTGGTGACAAAATCTCTAAGCATTTGCTTGTCTGTAAAGGATTTTATTTCTCCTTCACTTATGAAACGTAGTTTGACTGGATATGAAATTCTGGGTCAAAAATTCTTTTCTTTAAGAATGTTGAATATTGGCCCCCACTCTCTTCTGGCTTGGAGAGTTTCTGCCAAGAGATCTGCTGTTAGTCTGATGGGCTTCCCTTTGTGTGTAGCCTGACCTTTCTCTCTGGTTGCCCTTAACATTTTTTCCTTCATTTCAACTTTGGTGAATCTGACAATGGTGTGTCTTGGAGTTGCTCTTCTCGAGGAGTATCTTTGTGGCGTTCTCTGTATTTCCTGTATTTGAATGTTGGCCTGCCTTACTAGGTTGGGGAAGTTCTCCTGGATGATATCCTGCAGAGTGTTTTCTAACTTGGTTCCATTTTCCCTGTCACTTTCAGGCACACCAATCAGACATAGATTTAGTCTTTTCACATAATCCCATATTTTTTGGAGGCTTTGTTCATTTCTTTTTACTCTTTTTTCTCTACACTTCTCTTCTCGCTTCATTTCATTCATTTGATCTTCAATCGCTGATACTCTTTCTTCCAGTTGATCGAGTCAGTTACTGAAGCTTCTGCATTTGTCACGTAGTTCTTGTGTCATGGTTTTCATCTCTATCAGTTCTTTTAAGGTCTTCTCTGCCTTGATTATTCTAGTTATCCATTCATCCACTCTTTTTTCAAGGTTTTTAGTTTCTTTGCGCTAGTTACGTAGTTCCTCCTTTACCTCTGAGAAGTTGATCAACTGAAGCTTTCTTCTCTCAACTCATCAAAGTCATTCTCTGTCCAGCTTTGTTCCATTGCTGGTGATGAGCTGCATTCCTTTGGAGGGGGAGATGCACTCTGATTTTTTGAATTTACAGCTTTTCTGCACTGCTTTTTCCCCATCTTTGTGGTTTTATCTGCCTTTGGTCTTTGATGATGGTTACGTACTGATAGGGTTTTGGTGTGGGTGTCTTTTCTGTTTGTTAGTTTTCCTTCTAACAGTCAGGACCCTTAGCTGTAGGTCTGTTGGAGTTTGCTTGAGGTCCACCCCAGACCCTGTTTGCCTGGGTATCAGCAGCAGAGGCTGCAGAAGATAGAATGTTGCTGAATGGCGAGTGCTGCTGTCTGATTCTTGCTCTGGAAGCTTCGTCTCAGGGGTCTACCCCACCGTGTGAGGTGTGAGGTGTCAGTCTGCCCCTAGTGGGGGATGTCTCCCAGTTAGGCTACTCAGGGGTCAGGGACCCACTTGAGCAGGCAGTCTGTCCGTTCTCAGATCTCAACCTCCATGCTGGGAGATCCACTGCTCTCTTCAGAGCTGTCAGACAGGGGCATTTACCTCTGCTGAGGTTTCTGATGCTTTTTGTTTAGCTATGCCCTGTCCCCAGAGGAGGAGTCTACAGAGTCAGGCCAGCCTCCTTGAGTTGTGGTGGTCTCCACCCAATTCGAGCTTCCCAGCAGCTTTGTTTACCTACTTAAGCCTCAGCAATGGTGGGCACCCCTCCCCCAGCCTCACTGCCACCTTGCAGTTAGATCTCAGACTGCTGTGCTAGCAATGAGGGAGGCTCCATGAGTGTGGGACCTCTGGGCCAGGTGTGGGATATAATCTCCTGGTGTGCCGTTTGCTAAGACCCTTGGTAAAGCGCAGTATTAGTGTGGGAGTTACCCAATTTTCCAGGTGTTGTGTGTCTCAATTTCCTTTGGCTAGGAAAAGGAATTCCCTTCCCCTTTGTGCTTCCCAGGTGAGGCGATGCCTCACCCTGCTTCAGCTCTCGCTGGTCGGGCTGCACCCACGGACTAGCACCAGTTGTCCAACATGCCCCAGTGAGATGAACCCAGTACCTCAGTTGAAAATGGAGAAATCACCTGTCTTCTGTGTCACTCACGCTGGGAGCTGGAGGCTGGAGCTGTTCCTATTTGGCCATCTTGGGTGCGCCCTCTGACTCATTCTTTTTAATGGCTGCATAGTATTCCATGGTGTATATGTGCCACATTTTCTTTATTCAGTCTATCATTGATGAGCATTTGGGTTGGTTCCAAGCCTTTGCTATTGTGAATAGTGCAATAAACATACGTGTGCATGTGTCTTTATACTAGAACTTAAACAAATTTACAAGAATAAAACAACCCCGTCAAAAAGTCGGTGAAGGATATGAACAGACACTTCTCAAGAGAAGACATTTATGCAGTCAACAAACATACAAAAAAAAGCTCATCATCGCTGGTCATTAGAGAAATGTAAATCAAAACCACAATGAGATACCATCTAATGCCAGTTAGAATGGTGATCATTAAAAAAAATGTCATCAAAAAAAAAAAAGTCAGGACATATTAGATGCCAGAGCGGATGCGGAGAAATAGGAACACTTTTACACAGTTGGTGGGAGTGTAAATTAATTCAACCATTGTGGAAGACAGTGTGGCGATTACTCAAGGATCTCAAACCAGAAATACCATTTGACCCAGCGATCCCATTACTGGGTATATACCCAAAGGATTACAAATCATTCTAGTATAAAGACATGATTTTTTTAAAAAAGTAAGACACCTTTCTTTCTTGTTTCATTATATATCATGAATTTGGATGAAATTTCAAAGTTTTAGTCCAGAAAATTTGCTTTTGAAACAAACGCTTTGTTCTTTAGATACCAAACATTTCTTAGAGCATCTTAGATGTTAAGCATTCTACAACATTTGTGGCCTTAGCTGGGGTGTAATCATAGAAAGAGCAGGCAGAGGTGTCTGCAGCTGAGATTTTGGTAAGCAATCAAAAAGTGATGACTGTTGCTTTTATTTCAGCTGTATTATTGTTTTCTGCTACCCTAATTCCCAATCTCAAAATTGATTGAGTTCATGGTAAATATTTTGGAATATATTGTTAAGCTGTCTAGTGTTAGGAAATGGAGAAAGGCCATAAAAATATTAAAGAAATTAGTGTTATTTTCTCATAGCAGTGGCTAAGAATGAAATGAACTCCTCTCAACTTCACATCTTTCACACTTGCTTTGGATGTCCCAGCACCCAAAAATCTGTGCCTGGAGGTGGGCTGTGTGTGTGTGTGTGTACACACAAATACACCCACACCAAGTGGTGGGAAAATCTACAACTTGGGGATTCAGGATGCATGACACAGAGGAGGGGCATTATTTCCTGAGTTTTATTTGAAATTGTTAATATCAGAGAGCTAGGGAAACACAACATGGCTGAACTTGTCCTTATATGTTCCCAAAAGCAAACTAGTATTTTTTTTTACTTGATATTATTAGAAACACAAAATGTGAATTTTTTTGTGTGTAGTTGAGTGTCACCAGAGACCAGGATGAAAATGGTAAGGCTCCAGAGCCAACCTGGGCTGATGATCTGCCTGCCACTACCTCATCTGAGGCCACCACCGCCACCAGGCCACTGCTCAGGACCCCTGTGGGTGGGGCAGAGGGTAGGTAAACCAGAACTCCAAGTCCCCTTTTGATTCTACAGTCTCGTGCACAGATTTGGTGCACAAAGGTAAGAGAGATCTGCCAACCTGCTACTGTATCTACAATATGAGGAAGGCACAGGGTTACCCAGAGAAAAAATGTTATGATTCTAAATAGCCAGGACAAAATATAGTTTTCACTGGACTATATGTAGAATTTGAAAACTGTCTGGTTGTGGAGTAAATTTGGTCTATAAAGAATTTCAAAGTTCTTATAGTATTTATTATTTTAATTTGAATGCTTTTAGAGGGGATTATGTTCTCCTATTTGCCGTAGTCCATACTGCTCCCTATTGTCTTACATGTGCCCTTCACACATGTAGACATTTGAATTTTTGACCCTTTTATTGCACAGGAAAGAGAAACAAGCTAAAATCTAGATTCTGATTCATTAACATATTTTCTATAGAGTTCACATCTATAGAAAATGTATTATTATGTACATATTTTCTGCAGAATATGAGAGACAATTTTTGTGCTCAAAAGTTTAGATTAGCTTTAAAATGAATTAAACAATATACATTATTTGGTTTTGTTTTTAAGGGCAGAGGTAGTAGAAATAAATGACTCTTTTTCCATTTGGTCTAGGGAGTCTGCATAGTAGAGGTAGATTTAGAGGTAAGTTTTAGAAAATAAATGAATCAAGACATACCCCAAATCTGGGAAAATGTTTAAGGAAGATAGAGAGAGTACTGGTTTAGCTATTGCAAAATAACGCTTCTGACATATAAATCCCAGAGAGCAATTATCTATTTGGGGTTTTTTTGTTTGTTTTTTGGCTTCTCCTACCTTGGAATCACTCCCTCAAGTAGGAAATACTAATCAAGGCACTCCAGAGTACCACACAATAAAAAGGAATTTAGCAAAAGAGGAGTTCCATAATTAAAGGAACCTTATCAGGACAATGTGGCTTTATTGTTACGACTATCCTGTGCTTTCTTATAGTAGGTGTATTTCTACGATAAGACAATATGACATTAGAAGGTCATAGCATGTTTTTAGTGTCCTGCAAGAGCTGTTCTTTTTAAAAAATAATTGTAATATAAAGACAGTCCTTTATTTTACTTTTTTTTTTTTGTAACTGAAAGAGTTTTCCTTTCGTAGTGGGCAATTCGTGTGATCATAGTGGTCTTTCTGTGAACAGAGTGGGAGGAAATGTGTACAGAAAGTGGAAATGTTATTCCATATTTTCATTTGATTGTAAATCAAATCCAATGTAAATGAAAGAAGTCCTGTCTTTCTAATCCCCACAAAAGTATTAGCCAATGAAGTCTCACATAGGCCTTCAGAGAAATAAGCATGTTTAATGTGGTTTCATGAGGATCAAAAACCTTCATGTTTTCAAAAGAATTAATATCTAGTAGCAGAGTTTCAGGTGGTGAGGGAAATATTTTGGGCTTAGAACCATATTTTCTTGGTTGGTTCATTAGTGTGCATGAAGAAGAAAGTTTATATAACTTTATAAGGTTTTTATTTTTCATGTCTTCAGTATAAGAAAAATCCATAACACATTTTCCTTTTCTCACTCTAGATCCTAGATGTTTGGAAGCCTTGAAGCCTGGAAACTGTGGTGAATATGTGGTTCGATGGTATTATGACAAACAGGTCAACTCTTGTGCCCGATTTTGGTTCAGTGGCTGTAATGGCTCAGGAAATAGATTCAACAGTGAAAAGGAATGTCAAGAAACCTGCATTCAAGGATAAGGAAGTAAATTGGCCTGTCTCTATCAAAAGCCTAGAACTCTCTAATTTCCACATATTCACCCAATACAAATACAGCGCTATATTTGAGTGTATACTGAGTATTTACACCTTATAAATGTAATTGAAATCTCACTACAGCCCTAGGATGTAGGTATCATTAACCACTTATATAGGTAAGGAAGCTGAGTCTCTGAGAAGTTTAGTAACTTGTCAACTGACACCCAACTAAAAAGTGTCAGAGCTGAGGATTTAGACTTAGAGCTGTGTAACTTCAATACACAGACTCTATCTACTTCACAACCTGCAATGTGATTCGGATTCCTTTAATTCCTGTTGTATGTACTATGTCAGCTCAAGCCCCTACCCCTGCCCCTGCCCATACCTCCACCCACTCCCTCCCCAACCTCCTTATGTCCCTGACAGTAGCAAGACGTACGTGATAGGAAGGACTTTGGTGTGGGAATTAGAAATGATGTGAATGTTCATGCAGGAGTGCTGGGATAGGAGTAGGGATGGTGAAGGTAGTTAGATGTTTGCCTCACTTGCCCTGAAAGTGGTAACAGGAAGAAACCAATCCGAATTAAAATTACTTAAATGTATCACAAACTGTCACTTTGTATTCCTCCAACATGTTTGGTAACAAAGTATTTAATGTATGTTAAAACAATATACCCTTTTATACCCTTCCATTAAGATATGTCAATGGGCCCTTCCATTTTATGGAGTGGAATTGGAAGGCTCTTGACAGCCAGGAACCACTTGAAGTTGCCATCCACTCCTGAACAGCATGTATTAAACAGTATTAAAGATAGGACTCACACTGAAAAGTGAGCCACCAAATTGAAACGCAAGTAATGGAGAGTAACGGAGAATTGACTCTGTCATTTTATAATACTTTTGCAAGATCCTGTCTGGGAAGAGCATTAGTTCTGATCTGAGTTCAGACTGCACTTGCATATTTCTTTTTTTTTTTCCCCAGACTGAGTCTTGCACTGTCACCCAGGCTGGAGTGCAGTGGCGCAATCTCGGGTCACTGCAACCTCCCCGTCCTGGGTTCAAGTGATTCTCCTGCCTCAACCTTCTGGGTGGCTGGGATTATAGGCACGCACCATCATGCCCAGCTTGACCTCGGGATCCACCCGCCTCGGCCTCCCAAAGTGCTGAGATTACAGGCTTGAGCCACCCCGCCCAGCCGCATATTTCATTTTACAAAACTCTTTCTAGGCTGGGCACTGTGGCTCACGCCTGTAATCCCAGCACTTTGGGAGGCTGAGGCGGGCGGATCACCTGAGGTCAGGAGTTTGAGAACAGCCTGGCCAACATGGTAAAACCCCATCTCTACTAAGAATACAAAAATTAGCTGGGCCTGGTGGTGCGTGCCTGTAATCTCAGCTACCCAGGAGGCTGAAGCAGGAGAATCGCTTGAACCTGGGAGGCAGAGGTTGCAGAGAGCCAAGATCCCACCACTGCATTCCAGCCTGGGTGACAGAGCGAGACTCTGTCTCAAAACAAAAACAAAAACAAAAATACTTTCTCCTTCTATCAGGTCTACCCTCATTCAATTCAACAGTGCAAAAAGGAACACTCAAGAAGGAGATGGAAGAATAGCCATCTTAGCAGAAATAATGATATATATAATTTTTTTATTTAATTAAAATTGTGTTATGTAATATTTGATACTACAAAAGAAGATAATGTATCATGCTTGTCATTTTAAAAACACAATAAGATGAACACCAGTGAACACATCACCTAGAGAATGAAGCAGACATCACAAATTCTACCGAAGCTTCCCGTGTGGCCCTCCGCCATCCCAGCCCTCTGTTCCGTGCCAGGGATATCCCATTTTGAACTTCGTGTTTACCACGTCAATGTGCTGTTGACTTTTATAGGTAATTTTACATGTAAAATTCTATATATCTCTATGTGTCACTAAACAATAAATATTTAGCCTTGCTTATTTTAGAGTTTTACAGAAATGGTGTCAATGGTGTCATACACTAGTCTTCCGCAACTTACCATCTTCATTCAATATTATAACTAATCCATATATTTTATGATACATAAATGTACTCCTAAATAATTTCTTATTTAGCTTTTTTGAGCTTTTGAAAACTTGCATCATAATATGCAATTCTCTACAACTCACTAGATTATTACATTATAATTCATAGATGTTCATTTACTTCCACGGTTGTATATTTATGTGAATATACCACAATATGCCTCACCTGTGATCAGTTAAGTTCTTCTATTTCATTTTCCTCAGTATTCTGCCACTGTTGCCGTGAATGTTCTTATTCATGTCTCTGAGTACACATACACCGGTGTTTTTCTGGAGTATATTCCCCAAAAGTAGGATTTCTGGGTTGCAGAGTATGTAAGTGTTCAAAACTAGTGTATCATACCCATTTGTTTCCTGAAGTGTCTGAGCCAATTTATTATAAATTCCCAGCAGTTGCCTATAAAAGTTCTCATTGCTTGATATTCTTATCAGCACTTAGTATTATCAGATTTCTTGATTTTGCTAGTATAGGTGTAAAATGGTATCTTATTTTATTTTATATTTGTTTTTGAGATGGAGTGTTGCTCTGTTGCCCAGTGTTACAGTGATACAATTTCAGCTCACTGCAACCTAAACCTCCTGGACTCAGGTGATCCTCTCACCTCAGCCTCCTGAGTAGCTAGACTACAGCTGCCTGCCACCATGCCAAGCTAACTTTTATATTTTTAGTAGAGGTGGGGTTTTGCCTTGTTGTCCAGGCTGGTCTCGAACTCCTGGCCTCAAGTGATCCATGAGCCTCAGCCTCCCAAAATGTTTGGATTATATGTGTGAGTCACTGTGTCTGGCCAGTATATTATTTTTATTTGCCTTTCTCTGGTGACACCTTACCATGTTTATTTACCTTCTGTGCTGCTGCTTCTGCAAAATACCTGTTTATAATTAGGAAAGATTTTCTTTATTGGATTGTTTGTCTTTTCCTTATTGAGTTCTTAGAATTCCTATATATGTGAAATCTAAATCTATGCTAATTATTTGTGTTGCTAATATCTTCATAGTGTGTCTTTTTACTTTTTTCTTGTTTTAAAAAACTCAATTTTAATGCAGTCCAATTTACCCATCTTTCGTTTTGTGGCTGGAACTTTTGTTCCTTCTTTACGCCACTTAGCCTGTGAGCCTCTCAGCCATCCTTCTCAGGTGAGAAACTTCCCTAGGACAAAAATGACTCTGAGTGCTGGCTCCACCTCACTAGATAATCATCTTCATGCCAGGTAACTTCTTAGGAGCCTGTTAGCTCTTTGGTGTCAGAGGCATCCAAACCAGAGTGACTCCACCTTGAATAAAGGCTGCGTAAAGCCAAACCTGCTGGGTAACATTCCCAGGAAGTTAGGTACTCTTGGTCACAAGATATTTATGGTTAAGGGAATAAGTTAATGGTGCTAACTAACTGAGTAAGACTCAGAAGTTATGGAAGTATCCCAATATTTTAAGAACAAAAAGCATTCTTAGTTTTAGAGTTTCACTTTAGAAATAACAATATACTCATAGATTCTTGCTGAAATCAATAGTTGCAGAAGAGAATAACAATACTAATAGCCTGTCACAAGCTGATCACAAGCCTTTATAATAAAGCGCATTGTTTTTAGCTCTAATACCCTATATAAGCAAGTATTAGGTTTAGGTAGGGGCGTTCCTCCTCTTGCTTTTTGAGGACACCCTACTCTGTAATAAGAGTAGTCTCTAATAAACTATCTTAATTTCACTATACTTTGATACTTGCCCTGAATTATTTACTACATGCAATCCATGAACCAGCTCTTGTGGTCTGGGTTGACACCCCTTTTCCAGTAACACTGGTGATTTCTAGGTGCTTAAAAAAAAATTTTTTTTTTGGCAGTTGCCGTGGCTCATGCCTGTAATTGCAGCACTTTGGGAGACTAAGGTGGGCAGATCGCTTGAGCCCAGAAGTTTCAGTCCAGCCTGGGCAACATGGGAAAGCTCCATCTCTACAAAAAAATTTAAAAATTAGCCAGACATCATGATGGGTGCTGGTAGTCCCAGCTACTTGGGAGGCTGAGGTGGGAGGATCACTTAAGTTCAGGAGGTCAAGGTTGCAGTCAGAGTGACACCAAGAACCCATCTCAAAACAAATTTTTTTTCCCTTTATCTTCTTTAGTTGTCCTTAGCATGAAAATGGGTATGAGTTATAGAAATAGCCTTTACCATATTTTTTGTTGTAGGATGGAGAGCTATGGGTATTTTCTCATTTCCTGGATGCCCACAGTGCATTAAAACATAGGTATTGGTCACCATATTGTTGTTGGAAAGTAGAAGAACCCTTTAGAGTATCTAGGCTGCTATTTTGACAGGAGAAAAAGTACTTACATTTCTTGTTCAAGCTTTTCACAACTTTGCCCACATAGAAAACTGATATGGAAGCATGTTGTAAATGTTGACTTGGGTGTTTGTCCCTTTGTCTGCAATGTCCTTCTCCTCCTTCCCTGAATGACCACATCTTAATACTGCAAGGACAACCTGAACACCTCTTCCTTTGTGGTACCCTCTCGTCTCTACCAATTGAGTGGCAACCAAAATGAGTGGCTGAAGCACGGGTCTCAATGATCGAGGTTTATTAAGCCAGCTTTAGGGCAAATCCAGGGAAAACACCCGTTTGAAGGAGGTTTCAGAAAGTTTAGTATTTATACATTTCTGCAAAGTGGAGAAGGCATGTAGGAAGAGGGGCAGCTAGCCAGTAAGACAAATAGTTATTTTCCCATGTGTCTTTCATTAGTGCCCAGATCTACATTTTACACAAGACAAGTTGAAAGTCTGAAGAGAAAAAGAGAGTGAAGCAAGAGCCAATTATGTAGATATCTCTGGGCAAGTGGAGAAAAGATTGATCTCTTGTCTTTGTCGTGCACCTGGGAAGATAAACTTGTAATCAATATTATCAGCGTGGAATTGAACAGACTTCAGTTTAGGAACTAGACTTGGATTGTAGACCTATAGTTACAATTGGCATGTCCTTGCTTGTGGGAGGCCAGGAAAGAATTTATCTATGAATGATCTGTAGGGGGCAGTGCTTTCTGGATGTCTTATGCCTTTTACCTTTCCGTGGGGATCTGGCTGATGTACAATGTTAGTAACAGCTATTCATTTGGAAGAAGAGTAGTGCAATGACTCAGCCCCAGGCTTAACCTTTTCTTTTGCATAAGAATTTGAGGAGGTCCCGAGACTTTTTTCCTTTCCCTTACAAGGTTCACTCACTCCCAACACTGAGGACCCAAAGCCCTTGGCTTATGCCTCCATTCTGCACACTGATGTCAGGCTGAGCTACTTTGCTCTTAGTTGAGGCACATCTGCATTCATTTCCTTTCGCTGCTATAACATATCACTACAGATTTGATGGCTTAAACAACAACAGTGTGTTATGTTATAATTTTGTAGGTCAGAAGTCTGATGAAGGTCTCACCGGGCTAAAATCAAGGTGTCCGTAGGACTGTGTTTCTCCTGGAGGATCTGAGGGAGAATTCATTTCCTTGTCTTTCCCAACATCTAAAGGCCACCCACATTCCTTGGCTCATAGTTCCTCTATTTTTAAAGCCAGCAACAGCAGGTTGGGTCCTTCACATTCTGCCATCCTTCTGGTTTTCTGAGTAGAGTTGGGAAAGATTTTCTGCTTTTAAGGACTCATGTGATTAGATTAGGCCCACCTGAATAATCTAGAATAATCTTGCTACCTCAAAGTCCTTCAGTTTAGTTACATCTACAAAGTCCCTTTTGCCATGTAAGATAGCATATATACAGGAGAGTTTAGGGAGCAGACATCTTTGGGGCCATTATTCTATCTACCACAGCAGCTGTGTCCTCTGCCTGCTCTCTGAGTTACTTACGAGCGAAGACATGCCTTGTTTATCTTTGTATCCCTAGTTCCTTACATTTAAGAAGAATTCAATAAATTAAAAAATTGAACTCATTTAATGAAAGTCATTACAGAACTAATTCATTTAAAGTCACACCAGACTGTAAAAATTAGGAATCCTTAAAGCCTGTTTTAATCAAGTTAAGAAAATATGGGCTGTTAGAATTACCAAGAAATCTTAGAGTCTTCCAATCCTATGTCCCCTCTGTTCCTATTGTGACCTTTAGACAAACATCCCAAGCAACTGGGCATTCTTGGGGTTTCAGGAAGGTTATTGTCTCTTCCAAGGGCAGCTCATTCTTAGAGAACACTGACTCCCACTGCTGTAATTGGAACTGGATGTCTTCTGTGGCTTCTGGCCTCCTACTCTGACCTTGTGAAGCCAATCATAATAATTGTGTTAGTATTTTAAGACAGTCAGTATATCCTCTCATTCTGGCCGCTGCTGCAGCTTCTCCTGTTTCCATGGCTCTTTTACTATCCTATCCTCTAATTCTGAGCATGCCCTCTGGCTTGTATGGATGTTCTTGGTGACTAAAGTGGGGGAGAAGAACAAACCACCATGTTCCTTGTTCTAATTCTTATATTCTTATGGATTCCACCTCGGATGGCTGCCACATCAATAAAAGACAAAATGTCCCTCTAGTTTGGCAGCAGAACAAAACTGAGAAATTGCATAGTCAGCATTCTAAATTAACAAGTAAACTGGGACTTGTGGATTGCATAGACAGCAAAGACTTTCTCTGTTTTTCTCTGAAATTGACTAGAGGCTTAAATTTTATTTTCACCACCCTTCAGATTTGCCCTTAAACTTCACACTCAGTTTCTTGACATTATTTGTCAATGCTAATGGAATGCTCCAGCTATTTCCTTCTCGGCATATCAGTTGGTATTATGTTAAATGTATCATTTGGATACTTTTCTTCTGTACATCTTAATGAGGAGTGCTATGGTTTGCCAGTATCTGCAACTTGGGATTTTTCTCAAACTGATTCCATTAAGAATAAATCACTGCTCAGACTTGCCTTCAGCTGTTTTT